AGAGCATTAATGAAGTCCTAAATAATAGTCCTGAAAGTCAGAATAGATTAGACTCTGGACATCCAGGGCCTCTCTCCTGGGGAGAGCAGGAGTTTGAGAGAAAAGTCATCACTGTTCAGCTCCCATGCAAATCAATGCAGCTGTGACAATATGTGGGGGAGCTGAGAAACCCCAGCACTGGTTTTCAAAGGCTTTGAGTGATGTTGCTGCCTTCCAGCTAAACCCATCAGGAGGTGGGAAATGCTGAAACAAGGCATTAGCATTTGGTGCATGTGAAAACCCTGCATTCCTGGGGGGAGGGGAGGAAGGAGAGGCGAAGCACAGGGCTGCAGCTATTCAGACTCGGGGACCACACAGACACTCACCATCTACAGGAGCTCCACAAGAGGTGGGGAGAAGGCTTCCTGGGGCCTCCGAGATGGATAGGAAATGGAGGTCGGTACAGTCTGAAACTTGCAGAAAAGCAGGTTTTCCAAACAGAGTCACTACAAATGGATGGCTTCCCCCAGGATCCCAGGATGGAGGGTTCAATTTCTACACTTATACCCAAACACCCACTGGCTCTAATTTAAGCAGCTGTCCCCCTTCCTCTGAAGCCGGGCCTTTAACACTTTTTGCTTCTGGTTTTGGGTGGGACAAGCCAGGTTATGAGCAGAAGGGGCAGCACCTCTGCTTGGGCAGCTATCGCAACCGCACTAAGACTCATTTTGGGACATGCTGCATCTGTGCGTGTTTTCCGTCCCTGCCACAAATACAAGTTCTGGTTTCTTATTTTCTCTTTGAACCCTCAGTGCACAGCACCTAGAAGGCCCTTGAATTTTTAAAGGAAGGCGCAGTGCAACATATACTCCCTTCTGTGTCCCTTCTGGTCCCAGCATCACAGGGTGGTTGGGAGAGTTACCTGAACCAAAGAAATGTACAAGTGTCTTACTACTGAGCCACTGGTATCAATCAATCAGCATTTAATTAGGCACTGGGGAGATGACAAAAAAGAAAGTGAGGCAACGGCTGCCTGGGAGCTTAGACTCTTAGAACCTGGACTGAGGATAAAGTTCAGCTGTTAATTGTGATCGTCACTGGGCAGAATGTATGGCAAAGGCAGCTCTTTGTCTTCTGTATTTCATGCCTAGCACAGTGTCTGGAGTGGCTAAGATGCATCTGCTCTGGAAGTCACCTGGGGCGTCCCAAGTCACTTATCTGCCTTCCAGCTCCTTCCTAAAATGAAGGCTGTGATTGTTGTTCAGGCGCGTGCCCTCTGTGACCCTGTGAACCACGCACAGTCATTCAATAATATCCGTGGGGTTTTCTTGTCCATTTCCTTATCCAGCTCATTTTAAAAATAAGAAAACTGAGGCAAAGAGAGATGAAGTGATTTACCCAGGGTCACACAGCTAGTGGGCTGTCTTAGATCAAATTTGAACTCAAGAAGATGAGTCTTCCTGACTCCAGGCCCAGCACTTTAACCACTGCGCCATCCAGCTGCCCCTAAAATGGTTGGTCAGGTATAATCCTGGAAGAGCCGTCGGTATCAGTGAGTCCACTCCCAATTCTGTGAACTCGGCACATCAGGGCACCTGCACAGAGTCACATGGGAGATTTCAACACCAGTCCTTCAGCCCACATCTAGTGCTCTGTCCAATACATATGGTCAACTGGGAGGAGATTTGAGAACCCATCCAGGGCAGGGATTCTTAACCTGGGCAGTCTGCTGAAGACCTGGGGTGCTTCTCAGAAAAGAGTTTTTAGATGCATAAAATACATAGTGTTACAAAGGAAAGCAATTACATTGCTATAAAGTTCATTTTTTTTTTCTGATCCAAGTACATGGATCCCTTCAAATCTGTTAACAGGAGTTATCTATCAACCCATCTGGGTTACAACCCCTCATCATGCAGCTGAGGGCACTAAGACCCAAACATTGTGAGTTCTCATGGTCCTGGTGACAAACACTAGGAGGTCCTGGCTTCTGTTCCAATCTGGGGGTATCTCCAGTGCATCTCCAAAGGAGTTACTAGCATGACCCCCGAGTGCCTTCCCCAGAGCAGCATCATCTAAACTTCACTGGAAGGATGGGAGCTGCCACTGTTGAGTTACAGAAGACCTCTCTTAACTTAAACTCAGGGGACTTCAGCAGGTCCGAAAAGTTCCATTTTCTCCCTCAAAGGGCAGTGCTGGCACGGGCTCAAGTTGAGATGTCAGGGCAGAGCCAACATGGCGGAGTGAAAGCAGTGACTTGCTTGAGCTATCCCCCAAACCCCTCCAAATACCTATTAAAAAAATGGCTTTCTAAACAAATTCTAGAGCAGCAGAACCCACAAAAAACAGTGAAACAAGTTTCCAGCCCAAGACAACCTGGATAGTTGATTGGAAAGGTCTATTGCTCCAGGCTGACAGAGGAGCTCAGGTCGGCAGGGGCTGAGCAAACAAAGACCAGGCCTCAGTGAACCTGGAGCAACCCTCAGAGAACTGAATCAGGGGCAGCTGTGGTGGTTTCTAGACTTCTCAATCCACAAACACCAAAGACGACTTAGAAGATCAGTAGGAAAGGTCTGTGACTGCAGTGAAAGAAAAGCTTGGTCCCAGCCCCAGTCCTGGTCCAGCCTCGGGATGGCGGCTGTTTCTGGAGCTCTCAGCCCACAAACTGAAGTGGAATCAAGTGGCTGATCAGAGGGGGATTGTAGGGATCTCTTTGCTGGTGCTGAGGCAGGATTCTCTTGCTTTGCCTGTGCTTGGATCTGGGTCACAGTTCTGGGCGAGGAGGAGCATTGGCGTGGTGGAGCTTGTGGTGGTGGTGAAGAGGGAATCCTCCTCACAGTTCCAAGGCAGATAAGAGTGCTTGTGGTCACTCACAGGCCCGAAAAGGAGTAAACACCTCACCCTTGATCATACCATGTTGGAAGAACTAAAAACTTACAGGTCCCTAAAAATATCTCTGAACACAGCTGCACAAAACCCCTGAAGCTTGGGACAGTGCATTCTCCACACTGGAAGCAGACCCCTACCTTAACAAAGTCTATAACTCAAGTAATTGGCTGAGAATATGAGCAAACTGCACAAAAAAAAAGTCATATCACAGAATCTTTCTTTGGTGACAAAGAAGATCAAAACATACAACCAGAAGAAGACAACAAAGTCAAAGCTCCTACATCCAAAGCCTCCAAGAAAAATATAAATCAGTCCCAGACCATGAAGAGCTCAAAAAGGATTTTGAGAAGCAAGTAAGAGAAGTAGAGGAAAAACTGGGAAGAGAAATGAGAGTGATGCAAGAAAAAACATGAAAAACAAGTCAACAGTTTGCTTGCTACAGGAGACCCCAAAAAATGCTCAAGAAAATCACACCTTAAAAAATAGCCTGACCCAAATGGCAAAAGAGGTCCAAAAAGCCAATGAGAAGAATGCCTTCACAAGCAGAATTGGCCAGATGAAAAAGGAAGTCCAAAAGCTCACTGAAGAAAATACTTCCTCAAGTTGAAAGGTCTGTGACTCATCCTCTTGGTAGGTTTTGGGGCCACTGGTGCCGTTGCCTCTCTTTGGCCCATTATCTTAAATCTTGTCTTGTGAACATCCCTAACCTTTTCATTCATGGAAACCCAAGAGGAGACTTTATCTTTAATCTGTACAGAGTCGGGAGTGGGAAGGATCTCAGAGACCATCCAGTACAGTCTCTTCACTTTATAGATGAGGAACTCGATGCCCTGCCAAGGTCACAAAGCTCCCGAGACAATCCTCCAGGTAAGCTGGTGCTTCCCCTGGATTAATATGTAGCTGAGTACCATTGCCCACAGGTCAAATCCACCCTAGGCTGGCCTCAACAGATCTCCATTAGGGAATAAATCATCCTTCCCCTCTGGTTAATGGGCTGAGCTGGGTAGGTATACCTGTGCCTGCTCCAAAAACAAAACAAAACCCAACAACCCCAATGACACCCAAAAGCCAATGCCAATTAATCTTGTTTTATATAACCTTAGTTTACTTAGGATTCTGGCCAATGTTAACTACCATCTTAAAATTTATTTTTCTAAGTTTAGTAAGACTAGAAAGCAGTATCAAGAGTTGGAAGAAGAGAAAAACTCTAAGTTCTTTACAGACACACTTGCAAGGAATCTACTTCAAGGAAAAGCTATAATTTAGCTAGCTTGGCAACTTTCTGGCCATCACTTTCCCATCCATCATCTTAAGTGATTTTTTCCCCTGAAGGCACCAAGCAAGCAACACTTACCCATTTTGTTACTTATAATCTCTTTTGGCTTGGGTCACACTTGAGTCATGCCGGGCTCACTTGAAAATCGCTAATTAGCGACTGCCAGTGGATTTCAGGCCAGCCCCTCACCACACAACTTAATCTCTGCTGAAGGAACTTCTTGGCCTCAATGAGTCATCTGCTTGGGGCTCATCTGACCCAGGGTGGGTGCTCCAAGAACTCAATCACATGCCCGACTGGTCCCTGGTCTAAGGCTGCCCAGACAGTGGCCTTCTCCAGGCACTTCAGGCTGGGCGGACACGCTAAGGGCCAGCCCAGCAGGGAGGGATGCTTTGCATTCCTTTCCCCACACACAGCCAGGCCTAGGAAGGATTCAGAGCAAACCTTGGGCTTGGGTTTCTCACCTGGCTAGTTCTGCTAAACTACACCCAGAACTTGGTCAAGGACATGCACCAGGGGCTGTGTGAAGTCACAGGTCAAGTCGCTGCTTTAAACCCCCTCTCACATCACCCCCTCCCCGACATGCCCCCAGGCCAGCACAAGGCTCTCCCCTTGGGCTCCTGGCTCTGAAGAGCTGGTCCTCTCCCATTCTGAAAGCCAGTTATCTACTCCCTGCCTTCTCCATCATGCCCTTGTGCACAGTGCCTGGGGGGGAGGGAGCTAAAGGGAAAAAGGCTTCCGAATGTGACTTTGTGAACAAGGTCATTTTATCGACTAGAAACGGACATTCACGCATGGAGATGTGAGCGAGGCAAGGGTGGATGCTGGGCGATCCCCCCCAAAGATCCACCAACGCAGCTGCACGAGCCAATGTCCTTTATTGGCTATTACACAACACCCTGGTTTGTGGCCCTGGGTCACTTTCTCTGCCCTGGGGGGAAAGCTGGCATCTGGATGGGCTGGATGGGTGGGGCAGATGGGAAGGCCGGTTTCTTCCGAATTTCAGACAGGGTCTTCACTGAAGGCAGCAGCTGGTTTCTTTTGATGATCTGTAAGGCCAGCTGAGTGTTACCTGAGTGGAGAAAGATGTGATGAGAAAAGCTCACTGCAGCGGAGGGCACAGACAGTTCAGCTGCAGCCTTAGGGCCCCCAGCATTTCCTCGAGGACCTTGGTCAAGCCCATCTCCCGAGGCCTCTGCCTCTCACAACACTGATCAGAGGGCCCGGCTTCCACTCTGCTCCCAATCGCTTAATCTCGGATTTTGTGTGTAAAGAAGGGGGCTGGACTAGCTCTCATAGTTCTAAATCATTCCTTGACCTAGCAGAAAAAAGAGCAAAGTGTCTGGACGTACAGATCTTAATCCTGTGGGGCAGGTTCTCCACCAGTCTAATTGTGTCCCTTTTCTCTAAAAGGCTGTGAGGCTGCGGATCTAGTTAGTGTCTGAGAGGAGTTTGCTTCCAGGCCTTACTGACTCCCACTTTGGCATTCTGGCACAAGGATTCCTAGGTCTTGTGCTTTTAAAACCTGATGGATAAATGTCCCATGAGATCACACAGGTTGGTGGAATTGGGATGCCTGAAATCTCTCCTGTGTCTTCTGGCCCCTCAATTCTCTTAGGCCATTGAAAATCTATTCTACCAAACCCACATTCCACTGCTACTCCTTCCCAAGCTAGGTTTTATTTAAAAACACAACCAACCCAACCCCGCCCCCCACCCCATCTGCACCAGATGCAAATTCTGATGATACCCAAAGCGGCACTGGAGGGGAGGAGCAGGCTAGTAGTACATGGGCACTACCTCTGTTCTCTTAGGACCTGGACTGGATTCCATCTGTAGGCCTGGGTTCAAGCCCAGACTGAGAGTTGGAGAGAAAGCTAGAGGGCTAAGGCGACAGTTACCATGACCTCCTCCGTCTGGCACCAGGTCATTCAAGGCCTGGCAGCACGCTGTCCGACTGACCACATGCTTTCTTAGTCTTCTGGCCATCTTATCTCAAAATTCCCACTAACTCCAAGATCTGATTTCTTTCTTTTGCATTTCAAAATGATGATGTTTTTCTGCAGAAGAGAGGGTCAGTTGTCCTCTGCCAATGGAGGGTCACTTGCTCTTGTGGCCAGACTGCACCAGATGGGCCGTGTTTAATATACACAAGTTCTCACACAGAAAGAGTGTAGGAATACTGACATTTTTAAGAGGTCAGCCAAATGGACCCAACCGATGACTTCGCGAGTCCAGGGAACCCCCTATGCGAGCCTGAGCCCAAACGAGCCACTCTGTATCAGAGGCAGGACGATGCCAAGAAGTCACAGAAGAGACAAGCCTTGGTCCCTCCTCCCTGGCCAGTTCAGTTCACTGCACTCGGTGTGAGCTCTTATGCTGGGACTTGAAACTTCACACCTATTTTCGAATTACTTACCATTCTGTAGTTCGAGGTAGACAGCCAGCAAGATGGCCTCAGGTGGTATTTCCTTAGGATGTATCATGGAAGCCGCCTTTTCTCAAAACACAACAAAAAGAAGTGATCAAAACCACAGGACCAGTGACTGAAAGCACAACCCCCGAGCCTGTCAAGAACCGCCTCTTGGTGGGTCGGGTGGGCCTGGGCCCAGAACCAGAACCAGAGTCCCGGGGCTACTGCTCGGAACCTCTTCCCTTCAGCCCACAGAGCCGCCAGGACTTTGCTCAAGGGCTCTGTCCCTAATCTGGGGGTCAAGGACTCAATCCAATTTTTGAAATAATTTCTATGTTAAGGGCCTCATATGTGAAAATCCTGGGTGTGGTTCCCTATGGCTCTCACTCCCTCATAAAGGCACTAAAGCCTAAAGACCTTCTGTGTGGGCTTTTTAAAATATTTTCATAACTGCTTTTCGACATAATGGTTTTCCTTTGTAACCCTTTATATTTTATTTTATGCATTGAAAAACATTCTGAGACTGCCAAAGGACATAAAAAAGGTTAAGAAAGGGTACAGAACACTGTACTGGTAAAACCAGGTCGATGTCTTCATAGCATTTGTTGTTGCTATTTCAATCCTGTCCCCAATTTGGGGTTTTCTTGGCAAAGATACTGAAGTGGTTTGCCATTTCTTCTCTCCAGTTCCTTTTATGGATGAAGAAACTGAGGCAAACAGGGTTAAATGACTTGCCCAGGGTCACATTGCTAGGATAGGTCTGAGGCCAGATTTGAACTCAGGTCTTCCTGATTCCAGGCCCGATCACACCCACAGAATTCAAAATAAAAACAGCACCTCAAGGGTTTTTCCCAGTCCTCATCCTCCTGGCCTTCACTGCTAACCATACCTTCCACTTCTGGAGAGCCACTCCTGCTGGCTTCTCAAGGTTTCTCCCTGACCTGTGCCTCGTCTGACCCGGGGAACATGGCTATCCTCTCTCCCAGACCTTCCACGATCACATCCCATTCCTGCCCATTCTCCAAAGCTCCAACTTCCTCCAGGACATTTGCACCTGGACATCCCCATTACAAACTCCACCCGTCCACCAGACATGTTCATTTCTGTTGCTGGCCATCCTCCCAGCGTTCCCTTTCACGGCCCTCCTCCTTCTCAGCCCTCCCAGACAAGCTATTCTCCCTCCCCTACAGCCACCCCCACCCTGGCCTGGTCTCTCTTCCGCTTCGGGGGTTAACGTGATGCTCTTCTAGTCATCCCTGGGCTTCTACTACTGCAGGACACGAGCTCAACACCACCGTGCTTGGGACAACAGACTGGGAATTAACTGTGAATTGTTCTTGTTTCCTTTTGAGGGAGGAGAGGAAATGTGCCAGTTGCTATCAAACTCAAAGGGCAATAGACTCTTGAGGTCCCACTCGTTTATAGAAAACCACAGATTCCCATTCTCTGTATCACACTGTAGTTTCACCTTGTTGAACATCCCCCAGTTACGTAGAATGGAATAAATCTCCTCACATTACAGTCACACTTCACCTATATTAGAACATAATCAGAATTTTAGAACTATTATCCAGTGACCTCATCTGGCAGATGATAAAGAGAGGCCCAAGGTCATAGAGTGAACTAGTGGCAGATGTAAGAAGAAGACCACAAGTCTCTGCTCTGTCTCACACCCAGTCTCCTTTCCAGGACATTACCGAAGAGCATATATGTCTGTAATTGGTAAACTCTGAAAATACGACTAAAACTTGAGGCTATGCTTTCTGCAGCCACAGAAGCTGCTGAGGTGCCCAGCCAACCATCTTGCTGAGAGACGCTTCACAGCCTCTTCTCTGAGGATGCTCCAGCTATAGAGTCACTGGACAGACAAGCCAGAACTGTCTCCGAGGGCATCCCTCGAGGAGCCAGCCCTGGAGGGGATTTCAGAGTACCTCACACCCAACTGGCCTCCTCATCTTACAAACAAAGGAGCAGGCCCAGGGAACGTGACTTGTATCAGAATGGGGATTTGAACCAGGCTCTCTGACTGCAATGTCAGAGCACCTGCTTATGATGATGCTTCGTTAGGCCACAATACAGTATGTTCACTTAATAATTTTGCTTCCAAGGAGGTTAAGTTGGTGTAAAAATGTTCCTTCAGATCCTCCTCCAGCTCCCCATCTTCCCTCCCCAAGACACCAACACCGCCTGCCCCAAGGCCCTCCGAGGCTCAGCTGTCCTCAAGCACTCTGACTCTAGGTCCCTGCAGTGAGGATGTTCTGAGGACACAATTGTCAGGGTCATCAGGAGAATTCAGTGGAGAATAAGTGAGTTACACACTCTTATGACCAAAGCCCTCATTTTAAAAGCTGTGACGTGTGGAAGTACATGCTTAGGCACACGGCTCTGAACTTCTACATGCTTCTACATGTGTGTCCAAGTAGTCAGGCATTCGATATCCGTTACTCTCCAGGTGCTAAACATAGAATACCGGGAGCAACAAGCAGCCGCCAGCACCACGGCCTCCCACGTACTCGGTGCTCTAAGGGTGCACAGCGTTTTCAGGTGGAGGATCACAGATGGTACACCGAGCTCAGGCCGCAGAAGGCCCCCTTCCGACCAGGCCAGGATCCTCCAGTCATTCTGAGAAAACGGCTCTTTGACTCGAAGACAGTTCAGATGCTACATGTCTGACGTATGCCTCAGCTTTGGGGCTCTCGGAGAACACAAGGGCAGTGAAGCATCACAGGCTTACCTGGTGGAGACACTTGCGAGCCTTGTCATATTCACTGCGCAAACAGTAGGCACTGCCGAGATTAAACAGCATCATCGTTCGGGCAGAAGTGACAGAGCTTGGGTAGCACTGAGGTGTTTGCTTGCCAGCTTAAAAAGGAATATTAATGTTATTAAAAACACAAATCCAAATGAACTCACGTAGCTTAATGTGACCCAAAGTCTACAGAATTTTAAAAACCAGTGACCAGCTGCAGAGCTTACGGCATCAGGTATGGGGAAGGAGACAAGGCTCTCCCGGTCTCACCTAAGTCTAGGCTACGCCCCCTTCAGCCTTACACATTCACTAAAGACTTACAAACGTCTTACTTACAAGACTCCATTGCTTCATTTTCCCCTTTGTCAGATCCTACAACAAAGACATGAGAAACCAGTCTGAGGCCAAAAGGGAGTCATTTCTGAAAACCCAACTCTTCATGAAACAAGAATTCTGACATTAAACAGCTCCTCATTCCTTTGAGTTTTAATTTTCAGTGAATGATTTCTCTTATCTAAAAGCATCAGAGCATGGCAGCATAAACCATGAGATAAGCTTAAATGGAGGGGAAAAAAAATCCAACCCATGTGTTCCTGTTCCACTTACTCAAATATCAACTAACTTTTCAAAGCTAGGAATTAGACCACAGCTTCAGAATACCCTGATTGTATTTAGCAAGCCTGTACATTAATTAGGCAAGAATTAAGCTGTATTTTTTAAATAGTCATATCACCTTCCCTCACCACACTGGGGCTAACAAACAGTCTAGACTGATTCCAAAGAAGGAAAAAAGCAGTGAATCAAAACTTAACCCACTCTGCTAGACAGCCTTTTAAAAATCAAGAGTTACACCAATGATGCCTAGATCAATTATTACAAAAGAAACATCATTAAAAGGCTGGGAAGAAGCTATGTTAAGACCTGCTTTTACAATGGTTGCAGCCTTAAATTTCTATACATCATGAGTTACAATAAAAAAGAAGTAGGAACTTGGGCCATGTCTAATCAAATATGTCTTCATTAACCTTGGTCCTGCTCATTTGAAGAGATCCCCAAAGACACATCAGTGACGTTTTCAGGGTTCAAATGCGTAATGGCATCAGAGATTCTGTCAAGAGAGATGAGGGCTTCTGCTGCATATAAATGGCCCAAAAACCTAAAGTAGGAAACAAAATAAAGAAATCATTCCCAAATGGTCAAGTATTGCACCACAAATTCTTTAGGAAACAGGCCTGTATTTAAAGATTTCCTATTACAATCTTATTGCAGTAATTGAGGTGGAATGTAAGAGTTCAAACATAATGGACAGAGTCATCTGGCATCACTAAAATGTTACTAATTCATATTAAAATGACATATGTTGCTGCTTTGATTCTGGTTGAGTACAACTGAAGAACAGTTAGAAAATTCAGTCAGTTCATACTTGGAGAGGCCCCTGGTCTGACAGCATTTGGAACTAGAGGAGCTGGGTTCAAATCTGTACGATTGTGGGCAGATCACTTAACTCTACAGGACAGCCTTGCAGGTCACCTCCAGCTCCAGCCCCAGGATCCTACCCTGGGGGCTTCAGAGTTTCCTCCTTTGTACAATAAGAGAAGGGCACCAGATCATCTCTAAAACTGCTTCCAGTTCTCAATCCTATGATCTTTCTACTCTAATTTTTTCAAAGTATGTGATTTCATCAGTGTGGAAGTTACAACAGTGTGCCAATGTTCAATTTACCTTCACCAATTAAGACTGCCAACTTGCCTGTAACTTAAAAACTTAAGAGAGCTGCTTGAGGTTAAATGACCTTCCCAGAGTGATACAATAACATTGGCACGACTTGATCCCAGGTCTTCCTCACTCCAAGGCCAGGCCAGAATAACCCAGGATGCTCGGCTGAGAGGCAAAGACTTGGTAAGGATATTCTGAGGGCATCCCAAGCAGCCTCCCCACTGCTTACTGGGGAGCGTAAGCCTGGAAGAGGCGGTCTGTATCCTGCTATAAGATGGATGACCTTATCATCTCTTAGGCCAGCTAATCCCCTAACCAAGGACATGCTGCTGCTTAGCGGCACGGCTGGGGACGGACCCAGCCAGTGCTTCCTTCATTGCACCCCAACTGTAACTCTAAGCGATGTCACCAATAGCTGCGATGCTCTGTCTTGGCCCTTCCCTTGGCTCCTTGGTGGGGGTGGGGAGTACATGGCTGTGGAGCCCTGCACAGAATGTCAGACTGCTGCACTCATTGGTTTGGTTGAATCATTAAAAAAAAAAAAATCCTTTGTTATCAGAGATGGTTCTCTGAGAGGAGAAAAAAATCTAGGCAATGTAAAAACAAAAAAATCAATAAAAAATCTGTCTTGGATCAGCACAGAGATGAAGATCTTATTTCTTCTTCCAGAGGTTTTGGGTTTCATCTGACACCCCCCCACCCCCCGACCCCTGCCAGTGTCACCAGCCTGCTTCCAGCCATCTATCCTTTTTCACACCTGGACTGCAACAACAGCCTCTTCCCTGGCCTCCCTTAAGTCTCTCAAGCATCCCTTTCAGTCTGCACGTGTCCACCTAATTAATCTTCTCAAAGCAGTTTGTCTGCGAAACCCCCTTGCTCAAACGCGAGTGTGAGCTACCAATTTTATAAAGGAAGAGTCCAGACTCCCAAGCAGACTAGCTTTGACAGCATTCAACAACTGGTTCTGACCTCAACCAGCCCCGTGGCGTGTCAGAAAGGAGTCAGTGGATCAGCTCTCCTCCTGAAGCTTTCCGGGCTGGGCCTCCGCTTCCTCTCTGTAAAACGAGGGCACAGATCGGGTGATCTGTGAGGTCCTTTCCAGCTCTGTATCAATCATCCATCACAGTCACCCAACCGAAGTCAGTTCAGTTCCACAGAGAGTCCAGAATTCTCCTATTCAGGCACATGCCAAATGCACTGCCACTCTCTCTGACCTTCCTTCTCAGGGCTCAGCCTCATAATGACCTTTAACAGAATCAAACAGAATCTGACCTCCTTGAAGCCAGGCCATCTTCTTTTTGCCTTCACAGCTAAGCCTTCCACATTGCAGGGGTTAGGGCATGACGCCCCCGTGGTCTGGAAAATCCACGTACAGTTGTTTGGCCCTCCCTTTGTGCCAGAGAAGACATTATACAAGTTATGTGTCTATTTTGTGCGTTTCTGAATTTCTAAACTTTTTCTCTGTTGTCTGCTGGCCTTCATGTGTCTTCTGCAAAACTCCTTCAAAATTCCCATTTAATTTCTTATGTCAACCCGTGATATATCGAAATGATGATAGGGAAAGTCTAGATGTGGAAGGGATAACTGTACATTCTCAGAAGCTAGAACAGTGCCTGGCTTTAGCCCCTGGTCAGGGGCTTCCTGCCTGCAGATTGATGTGTGTGAAGGATGTGGTGACAAAAAGAAGATGGCCCTGGCTTCAAGGAGGTCAGATTCTGTTTGAGGAGATAACATGTACACATAGAAGAATATATAAAGTGACTCTGGGGAGAATCAGAGAAGGTTTTAGGTAGAGGGGGATACTTGAACTGAGTTCTGAAGGTGACTTAGAAGTCTAGGAGGTGTGAGGAAGGAAAGAAACCATTCTAGGTTGGGGGATAGGCTTTGCCAAGGCATCAGCTCATTTCATCCTCATCATATTAACTGTTTGAGATAGACTGAATAGACATTATCATCACCCCCATGTTAGAGATGAAGAAACAGAGGCTAAGCGAGGTGCAATGACATGTTCATGGTCACACAGACAAGTGGCAGCTGAGACTAGAACCCAGGCAGGCCTCTGAATAAATGCATACCTTAATGAAAAATGAGAAAAGCACTTACTAAGAGCATATGGTGTGCCACACACCGTGCTGGGGAGAGCCATGTGAAAAGAGATAACTCCTACCCTCGAGGAGCTTATACTCTGGTGGGAAAAACCCCATAGAGAGGAATGTTAGAAAGGGAAGGAAGTTCTGACCTAAGGTGTCCTAAGAATGGTGACTAGATCCACAGGGCAATCCAATGATATGCCCTCCTTTGATGAAGGTTCCCAGAGCCTGGGGGTGGGGTGGGGGTCAGGGAAAGGGAATACATGAGGGAGCCCAGCAGATGAGGGCCAGCTGGGGGTGGAAAGTGAAACGTGGTCTGGGGCTAGCTATGCGCAGCGGGCAAAGCAGTTACTAATCAAGAGGGTGGCACTCTGGTGCAGGAGTCCCAAAGATTCCAAAGAGGAAGGGATGCACCTCTTCTCTGTACCACACAGCCCAACCACGCTGCCTTCTCCTGACCTCTCCAGCTCCATCTCTGACTGCTTAAGAGCAGCATGTAGAAGGAACAACTGCCATGACTAGCCATCTGCTGTGTGCAACACGGACCCATGCCTTCATTCTAAATACGGACTAAGTGCTTCTATGCTGACAGATAAATACGTGTCCATAAGAATGACAGATTTCAGCAGCGCCAGATACTCTTCATGAGATTTGTAACTACATGGCCCTGACCATGGAGATCTGAAGGATGTAAGAGTTATCCAGGTCCCTCCCCAAGACAGCTCGAGTGACAACAGCTAGAGGCAGAACCAGGACTCCATCTCCTTAGTCTCAGGACAGGGATGGGCCAATGGGCCACTACACAGGTGAGGGGTCATACCAGGAAGAGACAAATCAGCTCGAGTTAAACTCTGTTGGCTGGAGAAAGGGTATGAAGGAGAAAACAACTTCATCATGTGTAACAAAGTCAAACTTACTTAAGAGATCCTGACAACTTAGGCTGCTGAAGTAGTCTGTCTGCATGATTCAGGGCCATGAGGCTGTCACCCAAAGCCAGAGCGACATAAGCACTACAGGCGAGGATAGAGCACCTGGAACGAGAAAACGAGGGAGATAATGTGAAGAATTCACAAACTATACCTCTCTGACCACTTATTCTGGGGAATAAAACAACAGAAGAAACTACGAGGCTTATTGGGAGACATGGTTACGCTTGATTTCCAAAGCACATTTTGGCTACGTGTGTTTTACAAATCACCATAAGCATTTCTTCAAGTTATTTTTCACAAATTACAAATGCTAATTTGGTTCCAACCCAATATAATACAAAAGAGCTTATAATTCACGGCCCGCTAAGGAATGAGGAAGGTGCTTCCACTGACACCATCATTCTATTACCTTGGAAGGATAGTTTATTCTTTTCTGTGCAGGTGTATGGTCTGGTGAAGAACTCAGCCCACAAGGCAGCCCGCTGAAAACCGATCCCTGTCTAAACTCGTCGAAGCAGTGTAATGCTGTGGCAGGTGAATGAACTGAGGCACAGAGTGGAGGCAGGAGAAGATGACAAGACTGTACAGACACAGGAGATGGACTGTGGTATACAAGGATTAGCAAGGAGGCCCATTTGATTGGGACACTGAGAATAGGGAAGGGAGTAGTATGTCACAACCTCAGAAAGGGAAGCTGCAGCCTGATTGAGAAGGGTTCTGAATGCAAGACAGGGAACTTTTTTTTTTTTGTTGTTTTTGGTTTTTTTTAGGCAACTGGGGTTAAGTGACTTGCCCAGGGTCACACAGCTAGTAAGTGTCAAGCGTTTGGTCTGAGGCCGGATGTGAACTCAGGTCCTCCTGACTTCAGGGCCGGTGCTCTATCCACTGTGCCACCTAGCTGCCCCAAGACAGGGAACTTCTTAATTTATCCTCGAAGCAACAGGAAGCCACTGGGCTTACTGAGCAGACAAATAACATGGCCAGATATTCTTTATGAATATCATTTTGGCAGATGCGTGGGAGATGCATTAGAGAAGGGAGAAATGAGGCAAGGAGATTGATTAAGCTATTGTAATAAGCCAGGGGGGAGATGGTAAAGTCCTAAAACAGGGTGGTGGCCATGGAGAGGGTGAATGGGAAGAGAGGGATAGTTGTAAGAGATGGGGAAGGAGAATCAGTAAGACTTGGCAATTAACTGGAAATGGGTAAAGGAGAGTGAAAAGTTGAAGACAACTGAAGTTGTGAAGCTAGGCGAAGAGATGAATGGTACACTGCATAGTTCTGAATGCTTTGCTACCACAAAAAAGAGAAATATTTTTATGTATCAGGCTTTGTTTTTATCTTTGACCTCCTTGGGATATCTACCTAATAGTGCGATATCTGGGTCAAAAAGGCATGAACAGTTTTGTGGTTTGGAGGCAAAACTGGGCCCTGCTCCTGACTCAAGTTCTTTTTCCATCATGACCCAATAGCTTTCTTATCCTGGAAAATCATCCCATCCTAGTGGTCCCTTCTTCTGAGCCATCAATTCCTCCTGGACCCTTTGACCTTTCAGCTTCCCTTGATGTATGTCTTCCTTAAAATGTAAACTTCTTGAGGTCCAGGGCTATCTTTCTTTTGTTCTCTATTTGTATTCTCCTCCAGTGCTTGGCATAGTGGCTGCTACACACTGCTTAAAAAATGCCTGTTATCAGTGTGCCTACCTTCCCACAGCCCCTCCAATATCGAATGTTCTCATTTTAAGTCATCTTGGACAATTTTCAGTGTGAGAGGTAAAATCTCAAAGTTGATGTAATTTGGCTTTCTCTTATTATTAGTGATTTAGACCACATTCTCAAATGGTCATTTGTATATTTTGTAATTCTTCTCTTGAAAACTGTTCATATTCCTTGACTTTATCAGGGAATGGAGTCTGGTGTTACATACATGTCAATTCCCTACATGGCATGGATACTAGATTTTTTTCAGTGATATCTGACTCAACTGTTTTTTCTCCCCCATAATGTTCTCTTTTTACTATAACTTCAATGACTTTATTTGTGTAAAAGCTTTTGAATTATATGTAATCAAAATTGTCTTTTTTGGTGTTGTTTGCTATCCTATTCCATATTTGGTTAAGAATTATCCCTCGAGTCATAGGGGCAAAATGTATCTTGCCCTAGTCTCTAATTTTTTAAAGGTTTTCTTCTCTATTCCGTTTTGGTATACATTTTGAATTTATGTTACATAAGATAAGATGTTAGTATAAAGCTATTTTTTTCCAAACTGTTTTCCAATGAGTTTTCCCTAGATACTATTGCAATCCTGTATCAATTTCTTGGGAGAATTTTAATTTAAATTCTGCACGAATATTCATTTATCAGTTGGTCTACAATGATTATTCTTTACCTCTCCTTGGTTAGAATATAAAGACCACATTTATGTTATAAAATAAGACTAGAATAATACTGTCTTTTGAAAACAATTTTTTTGTTGTTGTTGTACAGGTCCTAATTACTCTTTAAATGTCTGCTAGAATTCACCTGTAAATGCATTTGGCCCAGAGTTATTTTTTACCTTTTTGCATTTTTCCAATGGCTTCACTGACTTCTTTTTCTGACATGAGGTTAAGAATTGTTTTGTTTATTTCAGTATTTTATATTTTTGTAGATATTTATCTATTTCCTTTGAATTCTCAGTTTTTCTGACACGTGGTTTTATACAGTAATTTCTAATAATTTGTTTCTAGTCTGTTTATTGTGAATTTATTTTGTTCATTTTTTATTTTGATGATCTGTTTTTCTCTTTTTCTTGTTCAGGTTAGATAACAGATGGTGGATTAATCTTTTTTTTTTTCTTTCAACCGACAAGTTTATCTATTTCTCCTCTAAATTTATGGATTTCTTCTGTCCATTTCCTACCCTCTGCGTGCTTATTAGTTCACTGATTCCCTTAGTTGGTTAATATAATTTTTTAGACACAAATTTTCCTCTGAGAACTGCATTAAATTAACTGTATCCCATAAGCTTTAGAGTATGCCTTCTCATGATTATATAATTATTTATTGTGTCTCTGATTTATTCTTCCACCCACTCATTATTCAGAATGCCATTACTTAGACTCTATTTAGGTCTGTTTATTTTGCTTTTATTTTCTATATTACTACTTTTATTATGCGATGCTCTATAAAGGATATGTTTATTATTTCTGCCATTTTATATTTATGATTCCTTTATGTCTGAGCGCATAAAACTACCATGGGATGCAAGAAATATATCCTTCTTAATACTCTTCTCATCTAGAAGTCACCAAAGGCCAGTAAAACTTAATTTTTCTGAAAATTTGTCTAGCGCTATATTCTCCTTGTTTATCTTTCTAATGGTTTTTAATCAATTTCTGAGAAAAGAATATTACTTTTTATTATTATGGTGTTACTATCAATATCTTTATGTAATTCATCTAGGGTATAATTTTTTTTAAAAAAAAACACCTTACAATAGTTTTTTCATAGTGTCTACAGTATGGTATTGTTGCCTTATCTAGAATCATGACTACAACTCCTTTTTTAAAGTATAGTCTGAGGGAAAACAGTTTTGTCAAATCCTCTCCATTTTCACTCCATTTTAGGTATGTTTCATTTGTGTAGTAACGTTCTTAGATTTCAGTTTTTTTTTTTAAATCAATTATTCTTCCATTTTCTTTCTCTTTGTTGAGAAATTTAATCCATTTATATTTAACGTTCACTAAATAGAAAAATGCACACATCTAATATCTTTTTTTCCTTCATCTTAGTAGTCTCTGCCATGTGTTTTGCTTATACTCATCTGATTCTACTGGTCAGCATGTTGATTCGTTAGAAGGAATATCCCAAATTCTTCCCTTTTGCCAAACATCAAGTCATTTTCTTTGTTCCTTAGGTTCAGTTTTGCAGGATGTATTATTTTTAAGTGCCAGTTTTTTTTCTTTGCTTTTCAGAATATCATTTTCCATCTTTTCCTTTGATTTCTCATAAAGAGAGTAATCTTGTGTTCTTCCTATTGTCCTTATAAAAGATATTTTCCTGGATGTCTACAGATTTTTTTGCTTTATTATGTTATTATGAAGTCTGACTATAATATTTCTTGACATGTTAAACTTGAGGGTTTTTTGTTATTTTATAGATTCTCTTCCTCTCTTTTTTTTTCCATCTGTTTCTAGTACATTCTTGGCAACTTCCCTGTAGGAATAACTTGAAGTATGGAACTCAAGTTTTATTTTTCATTATTTTCTAATAGACCTATAATCCACATTCTTGTTTTTTTGAGTTCTCCTGTATTCTTTCAATCTAATCTTCTAATTTTCTTCAGTTAATTTTCCTTTCACTTCTGCATTCCCATTCTGTTGTTCCCTTCATCTGGAAATCTGTTTTGAAGTATGACCCTGTTTTTTGTTCTACATTCTTCACTCTTTTTAAACTTTATTTCTTCCATAAGAGTTCTAATTTCTGTACTTCTGTCTTGGAGAGAGCAGCTAGGTGGCTCAGTGGATAGGGCACTGGGCTTTGAATCAAGAAGACTCATTTTCATGAATTCAAATCTAGCCTCAGATACTACTTAGCTGTGTGACCCTGGGCAAGTCACTTAACTTTGTCTCAGTTTTCTCATCTGTAAAACGAGCTGGAGAAGAAAATGGCAAACCACTCCAGTATCTTTGTCAAGAAAACTCCAAAACAGGGTCACAAAGAGGCAAACACAAGTGAAGTGACTAAACAACATCTTGGATGTTTTCGCTCAGTTCTTTGTGCTTCTGAACCACTGTGGAGCTTTTAAAGTACTGTTTTACTGTTGATTTTGGAGGCCTGCCTAAATTTGTTGTAATACTTTTACCTTTCTCAGAAAATAGTCTCACTTTTCTTCACTATGAAGTATTTGTTCAATGAAATAGCTTTTTTTGGTATTGTCATTTGTCCTCTTCGATTGACTTTTATGTGTCTTTATCCATCACTCTGCTGAATTTCCTAGTGTCCCTGCTATAGAATGCTTCTTCTATTAATCCTTTCTTTTTAGTAGACCTATCTCTGTTTTGCCCACTTTACCGCGCCCCCCAATCCCCAACCCCCTCCCAAGCCTCAGCCAGCTACCTGT